GAAACATTTCTATAAAATACCTTATGGACTACGGTCTCACCTGTTAGGTTGTCGGGGCTCCACTGAATTTCCGCCTGGCCCTTCGGCGGACTCCGGACTCCACTCCATGTCCACCGCCACTGGAGACGAGGCGCCTACACTAGTGTACTGACAGTACTGACAGGGAGGACCTAGCTTCAAATCGCTGATGATCTACATGTGACGTGTCTGCTAGTTTCGTTTATTGTACCTGTTTCATCTCCCATGCATTCCCATCCGTTCTCACCTGCACCTCCGTCGCCAACCGTTGCTTATTCAGTGGCAACAATACGGATCTCCACCTCTCCATCCGTCCCAATGTGTCCAGGTGATCCGTCACCTGGGAATAGCAGGGCATACGACCACGACACCATGAAGGGTTCATCGTCATCCCCGCAGTCGCATGTGACGCGGTTGCCCGTGACGTCGCCTGAGTCGCCGTCACCGGAGCTGCCATCACCACCACCCCGCCATCACCCCGTTCACCCCATCCCCTTCACCTCCCCTGCCGTCACCACGGCCGCCATTTCCACCTCCGTCCTCTTCACTGCGGCAATCCCCACCCCCCCATCTCCGTGGCGGCAATCACCCCCACTACCCTCTCTCTCCCCTGCATTCCCATCCGTTCTCACCTGCACAGCTGTGCCGCCGTTGCCCCTGACATCGCCTGAGTCGCCGTCACCTGAGCCACCATCACCACCACCCCCTTCAACCCATCCCCTTCACCTCCCCTGTCGTCACCACTGCTGCCATTTCCGTCCTCTTACCTTATGGACTACGGTCTCACCTGTTAGATTGTCGGGGCTCCACTGCATTTCTGCCTGGCCCTCCGGTGGACTCCACTCCATGTCCACATCCACCGGAGACGGGGTGCCTGCACTGACAGGGGGGACCTCGTTTCAAATCACTCATGTCCTACATGTGACGTGTGTGCTAGTTTCGTTTGTTGTACCTGTTTGGTCCGGTTTGTTAGCTTGCGCCTGTGCTCCCGCACCAACCACCGAAGGGCCCGCCGCAACGGGAGCTTGTTGCTGAGGAGATTCATCTGCATCATATTGGACGTCGCAAATTTTAACCATACATAGTAGCTGGCAATGTATTGCAGCAATTTCTCACTGCGTCCAGCGATCATCTCGTTAGGAGCCACGGCATCGAGGCCAAAAAGCTCTGTGCCATTATTACCACCATGAGGCTGGACGCACTGATGCGTGATGACGTGATTATATGCATCCCTATGGCATAAAACGAGGGGTAACCCCCCCTTAAGCATAACCCAGGGGTTAGGGTAGGGGTAAGGGTAGGGGTAAGTGGTTACCCATGTGGCTATGTACGAAGGGGGGTGGGTAACCTAACCCCGGGGTAGGGGTAACCCCTTACCAAGGGGTAACAAAGGGGTAGGGGTAACCCCTTACCAAGGGGTAACAAAGGGGTCGGGGTAATATTGTACTGAGGGGTAACAGACAGGGTAACCCGTGTTACAAGTGTTCCTTGTCCGTATGCCGGGCCATATGCTGGTGTCAATGGATTGTAAGCATGTCCCTGTCCAACCTGCCTACACATGCTATCACAGCTGTCTCATCCATCTATGTGAGCACGTATGCCTATTTCGCCTATGTAAAAAAATATTTGCATGCCTCTCTATACACTTCCATCCATGCATATGCCTGTATCAAGCTCACATGTCTACACATACAAACATACATGTTCACCAAACACTTCGAGTGTACAATTGTAAAGATTGCCTCACCAACACAAGCCTTGCAGGGCTGTAGAGCCCGCCCATGGCCCCAGGCTCGGGGTGTGTATAAACTCGCTAATTACACCAACGAATGCAAATTCTGCATGCACGTTTTCATGCTTTTAAGGAGAGCTGCTTCGACCTCCTTCCATGCCGTGCTGATCCTCTTTAGGGATAGGAGGTTGCCCTTGCCGATGGTCTTGATATGGCACAGTACAGTCATCCAGTGCGTTATGATGGTCTTGATATGAATCGGTGTCGTAGCAGGGGTGTCGTTCCGGGGTGCCAGGCCCTCGCTGATGTCGGTCCAAAGAATGCCCGCCTTGATAACCCTGAATGCGAGGGCAGAAGTACGGCCGTCATGGGGAGAAAAGCAGGGAAGGGAAGAGCGGCAGGCCTGCCCTAGGGCACACGTCCGGAATGTGACATGCCACTTAGATTTGCCTACTGCAACAAAGCTCCATGTGAACTCACTCGGTTGCCGCGAGGACATTGAACTTGCTGGCATCACTCTGTGAGTTCATGGGCTTGAAGAGTGCCGGGCTGCTTACCTAATGCGCGACTTCGACTTATTGCTCCGACAACAGGCTGTCAAGCACGCGCTTGCAGTCGATGGGCGGCAATTTAAGAACGGCCAGAAGCTTAAGTGCCCCCTCGCGACCTGCTATGTCCAGCTCTGAGCGGATCACATTTGAAATACTCCCCACATTCTCCTCATTTTAAATGCACGCTCTCCTAAGAGTGTCTAGGGTCTTCGGTGGGAGCTCCGGATGTTTGACCCCAAACGCGGTCACACCTGGTGAAGCGTAAGGCGCCCTTCCAGGCAGATTCTCGGGCGTCATTGGAAGTCTTGCAGAATTAGGTGCACCATAAGCTCGGGCCTGTGCTGCAGGAAGACGGTCAACGGTGTTCTGGTGGTGGTCGACCCGCGCCACCAGGCCAGCATTTTCACCGCCATATGCACCACTATTCCATGGAGTATTGTAAATGTTCGTTGTGTGCATAGTTTATGTGAACAATTGTGGCAGTGAATACGATCGACCGAGTTGTCGATATTGGTCGTCCCTTTGTTTAGCTTGTCCGTCTTATTAAGAGTCCAGCCAAGGGTGTGTAGTATATCAACGTAGCTATGATTACATTTGAATGTACCTATTAGGAGTATCCATGGAGGCAAAGCAGCCTGTGTACGACCACCTTGTCGAGTGCATCCTGTAATTTGTCCGCCGACCACAGGACTGATTGCCAATGTTTTCACAATGAGAACTTCTATTTGACAATGGCTGACAGCCAAAGGCATGCTTACTGTGAAGGGTCAGAGAGCAGCGAGATCGATGTTTCCCCTGTCCGATTCGGTGCACCAGCCGCTGGGAATTACCGCCGGTTGCCAGCCGGCAACCCTACATTTGACAGGCCCGTACCTGTGGTGCGCCGTGATGTGCCAGGCATGGAACAGTCACCCATGCAGTCCCTGCATTCCTCGAAGTCCATGCAGTCCCAACCATCCTGCAATCCGACGTAGCTGACAACCGGGTGAGCTTGGTGGTGAAATGTGTGAAGTTGTCGTGGTACATGTGCATGCTTAGGGGAAGAAGGCGGCAGGGGAAGAAGGCGGCGGGGAAGAAGGCGGCATGGAAGGAGGCGGCAGGGGAGGAGGGGGAAGGGGATAGAGGCGGCAGGGAAGGAGCCGGAAGGGGAGGAGGGGGAAGGGGATAGAGGCGACAGGGAAGGAGGCGGAAGGGGAGGAGGGGGAAGGGGATAGAGGCGGCAGGGAAGGAGGCGGAAGAGGAGGAGGCGGAAGGGGATGAAGGCGGCGGGGAAGAAGGCGGCAGGCGAGGAGCGGCAGGGGATAGAGGCGGCAGGGGAGGAGCGGCAAGGGATAGAGGCGGCAGGGGATGAAGGCGGCGGGGAAGAAGGCGGCAGGTGAGGAAGGCGGCTGGA